TAAATGCATTACGTCATTAAACTATGCTTTTGTAATCATCTCTGCCTTTTTATTTTCTTAAAAAAAATATCACTAGAGAAAAGCCAAGAAAGGGTTAGGATTGTTATTGTTATCTTGATAAAATAATTTTAATTTTGGAAGAAACAAAAAAATGGCTCCACAATTGCTTTTCTTCCATACTCTGGAAGTTTGAAAAAAAAATAATTTTTGTTGATTTTTCATGTAGAAATTTATATGTGTGTTTGTATGTGTGTATATACACACGCACATACACATACATGCCTGTTGAGGAACAGTCAAAGGAGATGCAGTGTGAAGTCCTGGTGGTCAATTTGCAGCGCAGAAAGAAGTGAGTGTGTGATTTTTGGTCTTCCTACTCTGTTTCCAGTCTTGAAGAGTTTATTGGAAAGTTATTGTGATCATGCAAAGTTACATGGGTCACTTGATCACTCCAGAAACTGCTGACTATAGAATATAAGAATAGAGCTTCACCTATCTACAAGCAAATCATTCTTTTTTTAAAAAAAAAATCTCTGTGTGTGTGAAGACAGAGAAAGAAAGAAAGAGAGAGAGAGAGAGAGAGATCTTGAGCTCTTTGTCCATATATTAAAAAAATTCTTATCTCTCAACTTTAAAACTTACTTTAAATCCTGTCCTTGTTTAATTTTCTATCCCAAAATAAGGAAGAAAAACAAGACATTGCTTATTTCAATACACGAAACACTTGACTTAAAACAGTTTGTTTAGTGATTATTCAAAGTTACAACGGCACGGAAAAAAAGTGACTTATGACCGTTTTCACAGTTATGACCGTTGCGGCATCCCCATGGTCATGTGATCAAAATTCAGAATCAAAATTAACAACTATGGCAAGAAAGATCATAAATGGGGCAAAATTCACTTAAGAAATATCTCACTTGGCAAGAGAAATGTTGGGCTTAATTGTGATCATAAGTCGAGGACTACCTGCGTGCAGAAACTGAATGATTACTCCCAAACAATTTGAGCTCAAGAAAAATCTCAGCCAGGTTGTATCGGACAGAGAAAATGTTGCTCTTTTCAGCTTTAAAAATCATTAAAAGAAACCCTGCTTTTCTTGAGGTGCTAATTAGGATTTAATCCACAAAATGGACAGCTCAGCTTTCAAGCTAGCAAATCAGACTGATTCATTTGCTTACTTGGAGGCTGAGGCATAGGCCTTAGAAGATAGTTTGTGTATTTGTAAAACATAATATTTTAGAAACAAGCTAAACAGAGGCCAGCAATTCCAAACACTACTAAAAAAAGAGGCCAGGATTTTGATAAATACATAATAAAACAATTCAAGAGACAGTCAACAACTTCATATGAAAGAAACAATCCATAGTAACGATGTTTAAAATCTGCTCCGGATTTTGTAATAGGTTAGCCTTCAAGTTTTAATGGAAAGGACTATCTATAACCCAAAAGCCATTATGAAGGAAATCCAGTCTCTTGTGTCCAATATCCAAATCAACCTTGCAAGCGCAAAATTACAGTTTGGGAAGCAACCACTTTGGCCTTTCATTTCAACCCACTGTACAGTGCCAGAATTGAAATTAGAACACCACATAAAATACAATTTCTACTTAGAGACATCTCCTCAATATTTCATCAATAAGTCACACTCATAGATAACTTTTAGAGTTAGGAACTTTCCTTGCAGTCAACAGGAATCTGCCTTTTCTCTTTGATTCGAGATCCTAAAGTCTGGAATTATAGAGAACAAACTATGGTAGTCTTCTATGTGACCACTATTCAGATGAAGATTGCTACCATAACTCTCTGCTTAATCTTCTCTTCTCAAAACAAAACAAAACGTATCTAGTACTTCAAACACCCCCCCCTTGAAGGATCCAATTCTCAGTTTCCTGACCATCCTTATCACATTTATTTCCAATTGGTCAGAATCTTTCTTGAAGTTTGGGACTCATAACTAGAAACAATATCCACAATATTTGCAGAAGAGAGTAGCCATCTCTACATTAGATCTTAATGTTCAGGTAACTTTGATGAGATTAAACAATGTATGCTACATCATTCAGAGCTCTGAAATGGGCATGGAACTAATTGGCATCTGGTACAGAAATATAGTCTGTATCTGACTTGCTTTCCCAACCGTGTGTTTTGCACCAAATGAAGTTTACAAACTACCTGCAAAAGAAAAGCTCTACATTACTAGTTGTTCTTGTTTCTTCCCTCTGTATGAGAACATTATATACATTGCCAAAGCAAATGTTAATCTTATTAGACAATACGATGGTTCTAACTGTGACCAAAATAGTAAAAGGTAGCAATTTAAAGATGTATATACCGGTAGTCCTGCTCAGCAGCTTCCAGGTTGGTTTTATTTGTGATTCTAGTTTCTCTTCGAGAACCACATGCCTTCCTATAATATAAACTATAAACTATAAATTCAAGGCCAGAAGGAGACAAAGAAGAAAATGAATGCAAAAGTCCACTTTATAATCACTGCTGCCATAGTACTGCCTTGAAATAGATCTTTTCTCTAAACTTTGTTTCTGGGATAGACAAAGCACCCCAAAGGTGTTTTTTCAGGAGGCAACTGGACTTTCTTGTTCTTCTTTGAAGAAGTTTCGCTTTTCATCCAAGACGTTTCTTCAGCTCTGACTGGCTGAAGAAGCTTCTTGGATGAGAAGCAAAATGTCTTCAAAGAAAAACAAGAAAGTCCAGTTGCCTCCTGAAAAAGCACCTTTGGGACAATCATGACCTGGATGACTGAGAATCCCCATAGACAAATTGGCAGGGCCTAACCTTTGGGGGGAGAGTGACCTGTGGGAGTTTTTACATTTTAATTTCAGTTGTTAAACTTGTTCACTGGAAAATTACACAATGCTTTTGTTGGCAAGCTTCAGCAGTTTCTACAGAGCCTATAAAAAAAGAAATTCAGAAATAACTTTGTGCCCATAAATTGATCAAGCCTTGAGATATGCAAATAATAGGTCAAGAAAGATGCCTCTGTTATGAAAAATGAATACAGATAGTCCTCAACTTATGACCACAATGGAGCCCAAAGATTCTGTTGCTAAGTGAAACATTTGTTAAGTGAGTTTTGCCCAATCTTACGACTTTTCTTGCCACAGTTGTTAAATCACTGCAGTTGGTAAATCAGTAACATGGTTGTTAAGTGAAACTGGTTTCCCCATTGACTTTGCTTGTCAGAAGGTCGCAAAAGGGGATCACATGACCCCTGGACATTGCAGCCGTCATAAATATGAGCCAGTTGCCAAGCATCTGAATTTTGATCATGTGACTTTGGGGATGCTGCAATGGTTGTAAGTGTGAAAAATGGTCCTAAGTCCCTTTTTTTCACTGATGTCGTAACTTTGAACGGTCACTAAATGAACTGTTGTTAAGTCGAGGACTATCTGTACCAGGTTTTATTTTCTGAGAACTTATTCATCTGTAGCAAAAACAAGTAAGTGTCCAGAAAACTTGCAGCATTATTTAAAAATGTAAAAGGACTTGGAAGGAAAAATATTCCAAAGCCTAATGAGAACTGAGCATGCTTAATAGGGCTTAGTAGGCATAATCTGTTTGGAGAGGGGATACGAACCAATGGCAGAGCGTGGATTTTTTGCAAGATGGCCGGCCAGCACTTGAACAGAGGCCCTCTAACAGAGCAGGAAAGTAGCGTACGAATCCAACAAATAAACAGCTGCATTTATTGTAGATTCAATTTGTTTATAATGGCTATCATTCCGATGTATAAAGCTTCTTCTTTTAAATTGGAAATGCAACAATTTCTAATTTAATTGAAATGAAATTTGATTTATAAGATGGATGAAACGCTTTCTTTAGCTAAGCCTACCCACCCACATGAACCTTTATAATACAGGCAAGCACATAAACTGAATATATTTTTGAGACCTGAGTCTTTCATTAGTTATGTGGATGCTAATACAATCTCAGAAATTAAATTCCAACAGAAGAGGTTGATCAATAGGTCATATTTCACTTTTGCATCTCAGTTTCCGCTGACTGCAATACAGTATATAATGGGGACACTGCATGTTATGGGATCATGGGCATCCGAAGCAGGGCAGGTGGGAGGGAAAAAAGCAACACATGGATAATGATATCATCACCCAAATATTGTGCACAATACACCTGCATTCCATGCCGTGCTTGGGAGCTGCCCAGAGTTGGTTGTGGGTGGCTATATAAATGTAATAAACAAACAAACAAACTAATTAATTAATTAATATTATGCAAGTACAGTTTTTGCATGATATCGTCCCAATCTATTATGCATGCCACCGGGAGGGACTTTTACGCAAAGCAAATGGTATTGCAGCACGTACAAGTAGTCCTTGATTTATGACCTAAAATTTCTGTTGTGAAGTGAAACATTTCATTAAGTGAGTTTTACCCCATTTTATGACTTTTCTTGCCAGGGTTGTTAAGTGAAACTGCAGTTGTTAAGTTAGTCACATAGTTGTTAAGTGAATCTGGCTTCCCCATTGACTTTGCTCACCAGAGGGCTACAAAAGGGGATTGCATGCTGCAACTGTCATAAACATGAGTCAGTTGCCAAGTGTCTGAATTCTGATCATGTGACCATGGGGATGTTGCAACGGTCGTAAGTGTGAAAAACAGTCATAAGTCACTTTTTTCAGGGCTGTTGTAACTTTGAACGGTCATTAAATGAATTGTTGTAAGTTGAGGACTACCTGTATCCCACAAGATTCAAGTAAATCCCAAGAACCAAGAGTTAGAGACAACAGGCTGAGAGTTAAAGGGTTCTTCTAGTCCAGGGATAGGCAACCTTGGCTCTTTTATGCTTCATGGACTTCAGCTCCCAGAATTCCTGAGCCAGCGTAGTCCATGAGGCATAAAAGAGCCAAGGTTGCCTACCCCTGTTCTAGCCCAAGTATCCTGATCTGGTTAAGTGGTGCCTTTGGTTCAGAAAATATTTGTGAGGATCTTATTCCATGAATCAAAGATTTCCAAGTGCCTACCTCCAAGTATCATGCCAGCTTGACAGCACTTTCTCAAGCGACACGCAGGGCAGTTTTTCCGACGAATCTTATCCACTATGCAGTCATTCCTCCCTGCGCATAGATAATTATGTTGACCTGCATGAAAGAAAGAAAAAAAAATGCAATGAAATGAAATTATCTGAAGCACAGCTTTCAGAGATGCTCAGAATTGCGGTATCATCCACCCAAGAGGAACAACTTCCAAACCCCATCCATTTGAAGAGGAAATAAGCCACATACATGCATACTTTGCTCTCCCACCAAATCAACGAGATGCAAAGAAAGCTAATGCAAACTTACTCAGGACATGACTTGTACTACAGAAAAGATGCCATAATGCAGGGGTGTCAAACTCAATTTCATTGAGGGCCGCATCAGCATTGCGGTTGCCCTCAGGGGGCCCGGGTGGGTGTGGCCAGGGTAGGTGCGGACTACTGGGTGGGCGTGGATGGAGTGGGTGCGGCCTACTGGGTAGGCATGGCCAGCTCTACATCGTTCGCGTCAAGGGTGCCTGTGGGGGCCTGGGCAGGAGTGGGACAGATCTGAGGGTCTCTGGCAGAAGGGGGTGGGACCGGGGCAAGCTCAAGGCATGGTCCATTTCTTCATTCCTCACAAGGGGTGACACCTCCCCAGCATGCACCCAGGGGGCGGGGCCGACGCAGCACGAGCTGGTTCCTTACTGTTTCTAGACGGCCTTGTGGAGCTAAGACTGAATGCGTTTCAGCATAGATGGCCACCACAAAATTGTACATTGGCTCCCGGCCGGCCTGGGCCACGGCTAAGGCAGCGGGGGCCGTTCCCTCACTGTTTCCAGGATGGCTTCGCGGGTCACATGAAACCACTTCGCGGGCCGCATCCGGCCCCCGGGCCTTGTGTTTGACATGTCTGCCATAATGGCTGTAATATAGAAAAGGTAAAGGCAAAATGTCCCTGCAGGTTTTACTCCGCTAATTGTAGCCGACTTTAAGAGGGCGGTGCTCATCTCCATTTCTTAAGCCATTGAGCAAGCACTGTTTGAAAACGATTCTGTGATCATGGGGCCAGCATGATATCACATTGCAGCACAGAGCACACAGTGAAATATGGAACATTGTTACCTTCTGACTGAAGTGGTACCTATTTTATCTACTCACGTTTTACATGCTTTTTCATTACTAGGTTAGGCAAGTCACGGGAGCTCACTCCATCATATGGTGCTAGGACTCGAACCACCAAAGCCTAACCTTCTCCTGCATATATTAAGCCACTAAGCCACCATGCCTCCTTGGCTGTAATATATACAGAGGAGTAAATCCCATTGACCCATCTCTGCTGGCCTTTAGAAAGGCACTAAAAATGTGGTTCTTTCCTTGGGTATTGGGACCAAATTGGCTGGAGTTTGCACCTGGATGGATGTACTATAAATTTGGATTCCTAGCTGTTTATTAAATTTAGCAGTTGTTTTTAACACTGCTGTTTACGTGTGGGCTGACTTTATGCTGCCCCAAGTGACAATTGCTCCAGTTGGGCAAAGAAAAGACAAATGGCAGTAATCTAGTTCTGCTGCTTTGCCATTAAAACAGCCAGCATGAAATGAAAATAGAAAAGGGAGACGTTAAGCAACTTTGCTTCCCAAACCCCTCAAAAGTTCACCACTTCTTATACACTATGGTGTTTCAGTCAAAGTACTGTCCCCTAATTCAGCCAAGATTCCAAACAGAATAAAAGGAGACCAGACCTAATCAGGACAGATGCAGAAATATTTTAATTATATTTTACTGGAATATTATTCTGCACACCAGACTGTAATTAAGAGAAAAGCAATAATGCCCATTTTAAAATACAGCCTGAAATCAATGTAACTCGATTTCATTTTCATCCTTGTAAAACCATTTGCAGATGTAAAAGATGAACAGCCTATAAAATGGCCTTCGGCCAGAATGATTGACCGTAATGACTTCAAAAATTGCAGAGTGTATTTATTCTAGCAAAATAACAAGTATTAAGATCACTTGTTATTTATTTATTTATTTATTTATTTATTCCATTTATACCCCGCCCTTCTCCCGGAGGACTCAGGGCGGCTTACAGCCAGTTTAAAACAATCCCACATAAATATCAAATACAAATCTAAAATAATTAAAAATAAATATTTGAATTGGCCGCTCTATTAAAATTTTGTTAAAACCAATTAAAATACCCCTAGGCCAATCCTGCCTGCTGAAACAGCCAAGTCTTGAGGGCGCGGCGGAAGGAGGGGAGATCCGGAATCACCCGGATCTCTGGGGGCAGCTCGTTCCAGAGGGTGGGCGCTCCGACAGAGAAGGCTCTCCCCCTGGGGGTCGCCAACCGAGACTGTCTGGTTGGCGGCACCCTGAGGAGGCCCTCTCTGTGGGAGCGTATCGGCTGGTGGGAGGTAATCTGTGGCAGAAGGCGGTCTCGGAGGTAACCAGGTCCGATTTAATCTCTCTTTGACTAATACCACTCTACAATGCCTTGGTAAGGCCACACTTGGAATACTGCATCCAGTTTTGGTCACCGCGATGTAAAAAAGATGTTGAGACTCTAGAAAGAGTGCAGAGAACAGCAACAAAGATGATTAAGGAACTGGAGGCTAAAGCATATAAGGAACAGCTGCTGGAATTGGGTATGTCTAGTTCAGTGGCCTCTCTGTGGGCACGCGCACCATGCCCTGGAGATGGCAACTGTCCCACTTCAACCAGCCACCTGCTAACTCACCAAGCTCCCATGTGGCCGGATGCATCCCAGCATGGCTGGTTTCCCTCCCCCCTCCCATCCCTCCTGGCCTCACATGCTCTCCTTTTCCTGGGCATGACCCACTGCATCGCCTCCTCAGCTGTTGGCCGGCTGTCCAGCTCAGAGGCGGCTTCTCTGAACTTCTGGTGGCGTGCTGCGGAGCCCCAGAGTGCGCCAGTCGAC